AGCCGCTCCCTGGGGGTGGGCCACCCCCCGCCCCCGCCTTCCCCGCCCCTCCTCTTCCTCCTCCTCCTCCCTGCCCTCCTGCTCGGCGCGGAGGGGCCCGGCCAGCCCTCCGAGGGGCGGGGAAGGCGTTAGAGGCTTATCCCTCCTCTTGAGCAGTGCTCGATTCTTGAGTGCTTCAGTTCTGCCACGGAGGAGAGGTTAAAATTTGGACCTTGTGATTCTCAAATCTTTCTGCTGGTTAGTGGAACGACCTCTTCCTCCTCCTCCTCCCTGCCCTCCTGCTCGGCGCGGAGGGGCCCGGCCAGCCCTCCGAGGGGCGGGGAAGGCGTTAGAGGCTTATCCCTCCTCTTGAGCAGTGCTCGATTCTTGAGTGCTTCAGTTCTGCCACGGAGGAGAGGTTAAAATTTGGACCTTGTGATTCTCAAATCTTTCTGCTGGTTAGTGGAACGAGCCTACCAGCACCCTGTAGTAGATAGACACATTATTTTTTCCCTGTGGGTTTTTTCCCCTCTTAAGGCTCTGTTGACAGGGTTTTTAATTCTCACATTCACCACAGTTGTGAATCACAGAATCACTGGGGTTGGAAAGGACCTCCAGGATCATCAGGTCCAACCTTCCCCCCAAAATTTCCCTAACCACTAGCCTCAAGTGCTACATCTACTCGTTTTCTGAACCCCTCCAGGCATGCTGACTAGTAACACCTCACAGAAACCTGGCACTGCTGCTCCACCACAACGTTCTGCAGTAAGTTCAGAGAGCTCTGCCTGGCTGTGCTGGTGCCTGTGGATCCCACATTGCTCCACAGTCTGTTCATCTTCCAAAAGAAGTGCTCACATGAAGTGATCTGCCATGATCACAGATCCTTTTTGAGGTCAGTTTTTGTGTCCCACTCACTCCAGTGCCTCCAACAGATTCAGACTCTTGTTGCAAATACAATTGCTACTTGCAATTATTTTAAAGCTTGATGAAAAGGACGTTGCCCTGAAGCATTTCTACTCAGCAGGCCATGCTCCAATGATTATTAGATTAACTGTTTATTTTTAAAACTTCCTGTCTCCTGAGAAGAGCTCACATTCCCCTGGTGTTGGTTGGAGCAGCAAATGGAGTGATCAATAGCTCTCTGCTGAGAAGGGCTCGTCACAGAGAGCTGAGGATCTCTGTTTTGTTAACACTCTCTAAAAACAAACAAACAAAAGGAGGCAAATCTTTCTGTACCAGCAGGATGCTAAGTTCAGATGCTTCCAGTGTACCTCTAGCTGCAACCCACAACAGTTAGGAACAGGGGAATTTTGGGGAGAGGGGTGTCTGCTTCAGACCAGTTCTTGCTGTGGGTTTGTTTCATCCCTGAAATTTTGGTTGAGGTCCCTTTGAACGTTTGAAGTTGGGTCAATTCATGGAGCTGGATTCAAGTTACTGCAGTTTAGCTTTCAGGGAGGTAAAAATTCTGTGCCCACACACTTGAACCTCTTTATATCTTTATCTGATCCATTTTGAGCATGAACTTCCCCCTTGGTTTCACCCAAGGCAGCATAACTGGCAGAGGAGTGAGCAAATTGGCTTTTACTGGCCTGGGTGCAGCAGGAAGCTGCTGGGCACGTTGGTGTGACCCCTGCTCCTTGGTCCCAGACATTCCTTTCCTGGTGGATGCCACCAAGCAGACTGCCAGGCTGTGCACCAGGGAGATAAACACCCCCTTTGTTATCAGGCAGCCCCAGCACTGTCACCAGGAGGGCTTTGGGGAGGACTTCACACAACTGCACTCATCTTTATCAGGCTCATGCCTGAGTGCTGCGTGTACACATGGGACAGTAACTTGTGATCCCTGACCTCTGGGCTGCTGTTGCTTTTATTAGTTCATTTATTTTACCTCCCATTTTCCAGGGAAGGAGCTCTGTGAGTGTTTAGAGCAGCTGTGGTGCACTGCAAGTGTGATGCTCAATGCCACTGGGTTTCCTTTGTGTAGACTAATTATTAATGGGAAACAGGATGGGGAAAAGTGTATTCTCAGTTTATAGGTGTACATTTAACTTCTAGCAGGTTTAAGAGTTAAAAAGTTGAAGAGTTAGAAGCTGGTTTAAGAGGTAACACGTTCCAAGGTTGTGGCCTCCTCTGAGGGCCAACCACAAAAATGATCTGAGCAGTGGAGCCCCTCTGCTGGGAGACAGGCTGGGAGAGTTGGGGTGGGTCAGCCTGGAGAGGAGGAGGCTCCAGGGAGACCTTCTGGGGGCATTTCAGTACTTGAAGGGGCCTGTCAGAAAGGTGGGGACAGATTTTTAGCAGGACCTGTTGGGACAAGACAAGGGGTGATGGTTTTAAACTAAACAAAGGAAATTTAGGCTAGTAAGAAGGAAGAAAGTTTGGATGCTGAGGGTGATGAACCCCTGGCCCAGGCTGCCCAGAGAGGTGGTTAGTGCCCCATCCCTGGAACCATCCCAGGGGAGGTTCGCCAGGGCTCTGATGTTGCAGATGTCCCTGCTCAGTGCAGGGGTTGGAGCAGATGACCTTTAAAGGCCCCTTCCCACCCAAATGATTCTGTGATTCTCTGGTTCTGTACTGTCCACAGTCACCCCGTTGCCATCACTAATCAGTAATTAGCCATGCCAGGGGGGAACATCCGTGGTGTGGCTGGTGAGGAGGGGCAGGCTCAGCCCAGTCCTGCAGGAGGGAGGTCCCACTTGCCCTCAGGGGGAGGGCAGAAGCACCTCCCAGCAGCATCCTGTTGCAGATCCTGAGTCCCCAGCGTGTCCCTTCACAGCCAGCACAGCTCTTGTGGTGCCAGTGCTGCTGAGGAGTGTCTGTGGTGACTCTGCCTTGTGCTCTGGCTACAGGCAGCAGTTTGCTGGGTGTGGGTCAGGCACCACTCCAAACTGAGGGGTGCAATTGTTTCTGAGGTTTCATGCTCTGCCTTTTGTTTCTGGCTCCCTCCCTGGCTCCTGTGGTGAAGGACTATGAAGCTTTCTTTGAGGCACGAGAGAACAATGCAGTATATGCATTCCTAGGCTTGACTGCACCACCTGGCTCAAAGGTAAGTGCAACACTCCTCGCTGTAAACCACAACCTGTACTTGACACCTTGTTCTTCTCTGCTCCTAGTAGGTGTTTTATGTCTTCTGTGGTTGCCCCAACCCATCTCCCTGCTGGTCTGAGATTCAGTCTCCAGGGACTGACTTGGAGGCTTCAACTTCACAGCAACACGTTGTTATGTGTCTGTTTCTTTGGAGGCTGCTGTGTTCCCTGGAGGCATTTTCCTCCCCCTCCTTCTACCAGAACTCTGTGTTCAGTACAGGTGCTCTTGGTATCCTCACTCCAGAGCTCTTAAGTTAATGGAAAGGCTTTTGTTGCTTTGGGAAGAAGAGCTGGGACAAATTCTTCACTAGTTGTCTCTTACTGTTGGATTTTTTTTTAATGCTGTGCTAAGGGAACAAGTGGGAGAGTAAATATTTGCACTGAAGAACACACAGGGAATCTAAATGAAAACAATTGTCACAAAACCAAAGAATGATTTCAGTTCAGTGAAAAAACTGAAGTCCTGTGGTGTTTAGTGAGATTTTATGTTTAGAAAACACCTCGAAGCCAGAGTCACTCTTTCTGAAATAATGTGGTCTTGCTTCAGAGTCACTCTGTCCTCCAGCTCGTTATCTGAAGCCTGGTTTCCCTTTGCCAATTACAGGCTGGGTGGCTGCTTTGTGGGTGCAGTGGGCTGGAATTCTCCCTTTGATCCTGATAGGATAGGACAAGGCAGCTTTACAGCAGGATCCTGCAGCTCACTCCCAGCTCTCTTCTTCCAGCAGAGGCACATGCTGCTGCCTTTCAGGGAGGAACTGAAGGTCACGCCGTGCACATCACCAAGAGACCTAATTTCAAAGGTGGATGATGAGCCTTGCAAGCTTTAGGTCAGGCTGAAGCAGTTTGGGGAGCCAGATGAGTGTCAGGCAGTGGCTGCACTGATGTGGATGGTTTAGTGAGGGGAAATGGGAGTCGCAGAGGGCAGAAGCTCTGATGTGTGCCCCTGTGTCACACGTGGCTGGTGTCAGGAGGCCAGTCACACACTGCTGACAGCTCTGTAGATCTTCCTGAAGCTTTCTGGGCCGTGAGCACAGTGCTGTGCAGGAGAGGAGGGAGCCAAGGAGCAGGAAAGCAGCTGTGGGAGCAGGGGACACAGGGAGGCCCCTGTGTTTCCCCTCCCAGCTGAGGTGTGGGCAGTGCAGCAGTGAGAGCAGTGGCTGCCTTAGGGAGCCAGGTCGTCTGTCCCTGTGAGGTTTGTGAGCTTACCTAACCTGCCAGGTTGCAGGAGCAGTGTGCAGGGGCTGGGGCTGTCCTAGGGGATGCTCTGATTCCATCCTCACCTGAGAAAAGGGGGCTTATAAGAAAGCTGGGGACAAGCAGGGCTTGTGACAGGACAAAGGGTGATGGTTTTAAGCTCAAAGAGGGAGATTTAGACTGGAGAGATGGAAAGAATTTTGGATGCTGAGGGTGGTGAGCCCCTGTGCCAGGCTGCCCAGAGAGGTGGTCGCTGCCCCATCCCTGGCACCATCCCAGGGGAGGTTGTTTGGGGCTCTGAGCACCCTGCTCTAGCTGCAGATGTCCCTGTCCCTGCAGGGGGTTGGACAGGGTGACCTTGGAAGGTCCCTTCCCACCCAAACCTTCCTATGGTTCTAGGAAAAGTTGAGTTTTACAAAGGAGGAACAGGACACAGCTGTACTCTGCTGAGTTTCCCTCTGACTTGCTCACTCCAGGGGGTGTGTTTGAGCTGGTGAGGGTGACCTGTGTGTAAGTGACCTTGTCCCCAGCCCATTCTGCTGTTGGTCTGACTCCTGCTACCCCTCCCACGAGGACATCGTGGCAAATCAGGCTGAGTGCCTGCAGAGGAGGAGGAGAAGCTAATTTGTAGATGCTGAACTTGGCATTTACAGCAGAGCTGCACCCAGCTTGGCTATGATGTTGTAGGTGATGACATTGCCTCTGCAGGAAGGAGCCTGAGACCAACCTGGGTGCCGCTGCAAGAGAGGACCTTGAGAGCAAACCTCCATTAGATGTCATTAGGAGAGACCTAGGAAGTTGTTTGACTCTTAACAGAGATCCAGTATCAGTGCTGAACAAGAAGGGCTCAGAAGGGAGTGTGGGAAAGGCAAAGAACTATTTATTGAGCCCTGGTGCTCTGCGTTTGGTGTTCCATTTACACTCAATACCCACTTCAGGCAGCATGGGTGTGTTGTAAAGGGAGGGGATTTGGTGAGTTAAGGCTGTGGTGCATTGCTTGAGGGCTGAGAGCATGCTCAGTGAGGAGCCTCCAGGGAGAAACAAGAGTCTGGGAGAGGGCTGGTGTCAGACTGAGGAGCTGAGCCCTTCCCAGGTAACTCAGACCACACCACGTTTGACCTTCAAGACAAAGAGTTTGGCATGTTCTCTGAGCTACTTGGACCTACTTCCACGGTGCTTAGGGAGATACCAGGAATCCTCTCCAGCTTGCTTTGAAGCCAAGTATTTTGTCTTGCATTTTCTGGGAGGAGAGCTAGATGTCAGCTCTGTAGTGCCCACAGCTGGGCAACAGAGTTGTTACAAAGCTGAGGAGCCATCTCCTCTTTCTTACCATCCAAAGACCCACTTGTCTTCTAGAGAATATCAAACGTCCTTGGGTTTTTTCCAGGCTTTGTAGCTCTTTTTGACCTTTCCATCATTCTCCACCTGCCTGGATGGGTGGGATGCCCTGCCAGGAGCAGGCTCTGTGGAGCAGAGGGCAGGGGGACATGGTGGCCCTGAGCCAGAGGTCCCAGCAGGGCTGTCCCCACACCCTGGAGGAACAGGGTGCTTGGGCAGGCAGCCAGGAGAACAGGACTGGTCACCACGGCTGGGACAAGGGAGAAGTGTGTGGTGCTTCCTCCCTGCAGCCTGGCCTCACTGCTGTGTCCCTCTCAGGAGCCCTGTGGGCTCCTCAGGATGTCCTGTAGTCCTTCCTCCTCTTGACTTCCATCCGTTTGGCCTGCTGGCTCCTGTTACTGATGATACTGTTGGGACTCTTATCCTTGGTATTTGATGGAATGGAATCATTAAGGCTGGAAAAGACCTCACAAGATCAAGTCCAGCTGTCAGCCCAGCACTCCCATGATCACTAAACCATGTCCCCAGGTGCCACGTCCACACATTTTTTGAACCCCTCCAGGGCTGGGACTCCAGCAGCTCCCTGGGCAGCCTGGGCCAAGGCCTCACCACTCTGCCAGGAGAGAAATTTCTCCTCATACCCAACCTAAACCTCCCCTGGGGCAACTTCAGCCCTTTTCCTCTTGTCCTATTGCTGGTTACCTGGGAGAAGGGACCAACCCCCACCTGGCTCCAGCCTCC